CCGTCGGCCGACTCTGCAGGCAAAAAGCGCGCGCCCCCGCCCTCGCTCCCGCCAATGCTCTCCGCCGTCCGCTCTTCGGCGGCCCTCGCCCGCATGGCGCCCCTTCGCCTGTCGGCGCAGGCGGCCGCCGCCGCTGCCGGCCCCCGCCTCGGCGCGGTGTCCGCCCTTGCTGTCGGTCCGACCCCATCGACCCCGGCCGTGGACGCCATGCCGGCCCGCCAGTTCTCGCTCCTCGCGGCCGGTCGCGGCTTCGCTGCCCCGCTCGGGCAGATGGCCGTCGGCTCGGCCGCCCGCCAGCCGGCGTCCGTCATGGCTGGCCTGCTGGGCCAGCAGCCTCATCCCCTGGCTCTGGTCGGGCCTGCTGCCGGTCCGATGATGGTGTCCCGTGGTCTGATGATGCCCCGCCGGTCGAAGTTCCGCAAGCGCTTCAAGGGCCGTGTCTATGGTCGTGCCTCTCGTGGTCACTATGTACGGGCCCATGCGCCAAGCGTGCCTGCCTAGGGGGAGGGGCCAGAGGGCCGGCCTGCCCCTCTGATTGTCACATTTCCCATGTCTGACCCTGTATCGGCACCTTTCCCCCCCCCCCCCCGCCCCTCCCTCCCCTGCCCTCCCCTGCCCTCCCCTGCCCTCCCGCCTGGTCGACTCAACACACAGGTTGCCTTCGGTAAGTATGGCCTGCAAGTGCAGCATCCGGTGCGCCTGACTGCCGCGCAGATTGAGTCCGCTCGTCGTGCTATCACTCGCCGTCTGAAGCGTGTTGGCCGCATGTGGATTCGCATCTTCCCCGACATCCAGGTGTCCAAGAAGCCGGCCGAAGTGCGCATGGGCTCCGGCAAGGGTTCCGTCGATCACTGGGTCGTGCGTCTGAAGGCCAACCGTGTCATCTTCGAGTTGGATCAGGTCCCGGAGCCGCTGGCCCGCGCGGCCTTCCGCCTGGCCGCCAGCAAGCTGCCGATCCCCTGTAAGTTTGTCCTCAATCCGAAGCTCGTCCGCGGGCCGCCTCCGACTGCCCCGGCTGCCGAGGCTGACGCCGGTGCCCCGGCCGCCGACGGCACTGGGACCACCCCGCCCTCGGCCCCGGCCGCTTAAGGCCTCCTCCCTCTCCCCCTGTGCTGTGCCCTCGCGTGTGGCTCCAATCCCGTTCGACTCTCGATGCATCGCTGGCACCTGGGGCCCGCTTCGTGCTGCTCCTTCCCATCTTCCTCCCTCCCCCCCCCCTTCACATCGGCCCTTCTCCTCTTCCCCGCTCGTCGCCCACCCACCCGCTCCTCCACTCGCAGGACTGCCCTGTCGGCGTGCGCATGCAGGGCGCCCCTTTGCCCCCATTCCTCCTCGCCGTCCCCTCAATCTCCGGAACATGCACACATATAGAGTCATGCCCCTCGCGCTGGGAGGCGGGGGGAAAGAGCATGGCCTGCTGAGACAGCAGGGCCGGGCCCAGGTCTGTCGATGTGTGCGTGGTCGTGCACATCCATCCACGCGCGTGGCACGAAACCCGAGGAAGCCGAGCGTCCTCCCTCCCCCCCTCTGGGTCGGTCCCCGTACTCCTGTAGGGTGTGCCCGGTTTTGCCCCTCCCGACTGCTTTTTCCGCACGGCGCCCCGACACTGGCGCGTGCTCCCCCTCCCTCCTTGTCTTTGTTGTCCTTCCCACCCGTATTCTCCTTCGAGGAGAAGTCCCCTCATCTCGGCCTTCTCGCGCAATCCCCCCCCCCCCTCCTTCCCCCCTTCTCCCTCGCCTATGGCGCACGCGTGTGCATCACCCAACACACATGCACGGCAATGTGCCTGCACATAGAAGCCTCGGGCTTTCCCGCCCGTCAAAAATAAACCCTGTAAAGTTACCCCCCTCTCGTGCCACCTGACAGCCAAGTTGACTGGCCTGCATTCTGTTGCGCGCACACACACGCGCACGCGCCCCCCAGACAGGCAAGGGAGCCGGGGAGAAGGGGACACAACAGTAAGGATGGGGAGTATATTCCGCGCACAAGCGCACACACGGCGAGAGGGAAACTAGATCGCCGAGGGGAGAGCGGAAAAGGCAGGGGGGAGGGGGGGGGGAGCAAAAAAAAAAAAAGACAATGACAAGGGCGGTGGCCTCTGGGGACCATGCTCCTCCCTCTACCAGCCATCTCTCCGGGGCTGTAGCCCGGGCAGCAGGAAGGTCTTCATGCTCTTGTGAACGTATGTGCTGGCACGGAGGTTGTGGTCCTTGGCGTGGCGGGTATAGAGTGCCCGGCAGGCAGCGGGGAAGGGCTGCTTCAAGAGCTGGGTGGCGGCCCCAAGCAGGGGATACAAGGCCTGGATGGTGTACGGGGCAACATACTCCAGGGGCAATGGCCGGTTGTGGTACTGGGCAATGACATGGGGAGCCAGGAGTGGCGAGTGTGGCGCCTGGGCGGCGGTATTTCGGAAGGCCCGATTCAGTTGCCGGCGCCCATACACGGCCACCACGCTCCGGGCGATGGACCACGGCCAGTGCCCATTCCAGTCGCACCACCCGACCGGGGGGATGGCGTCCAGGGTCGGCACGCCGGGGGTCTCCTCCGGTGGTGAGCGCTTCAGCATCAGCCGGGCCAGGACAACGGCGCAGCAGGCCAGCACCGAGGGCCGGACATTGGCGAAAACCGGGTGCGTGTGTCCAAAACAGAGGACCACCTCGGCCACATAAGAGGCCACATGGTATACCTGCTTGTCGTAAGTCGGCTCGTCGGTTGGCGGCGGCGAGGCGTTGGTCGGGTTGTAGAGGGCCAACCGGCGGATGAAGGAGGTGGCCGGCGGGTGGGCAAGGTCGTAATTGAGCGCGGCCAGGATCATCCGCTCGGTCAGGTGCAGGGACGAGCGGCAGAATATCTCCCCGGTCATCTGCATCACTCGGCTGATGGTCCACTCGGTGTTGCTGTCCTCGAACTTGATGGCCAGGAAGTAGCAAGTCAGGGCGATCATCTGGGCCGAATGCTTGGGGATATTCTATATGCCGGGGGCGGGGAGGGGGGGGAGGGGAGGAAAACACATGGTGAGTGAGAACACATTGGCCGGAGGGAGAGAGATCCAGGGCGGAGAGGTACAAGCCCGTAACGAGGGCAAAGGCTCCAGGAGGGTCTTAAAAGGTTGAGAGAGAGAGAGAGAGAGAGAGAGAGAGAGATGCCGAGCACCGGCACAAACACAAGTACATACCTGCACCATCGACAGATACCGATCCCACAGGTTCATGGCCAGACCGAGAACCTGCGGTGGGGACCCCGGCACCAGGAGGTCGACCTCGGTGAGCCAATTGGCCACGACCCCGCGGTCGGAGGCCCGGATCTCGGGGTGCCGCTCGGAGCAGTCGCTCGCAGCCGGACCCTCGGCCACGGCCCACCAGGTGTTCAGGAATGGCAGAGTGCGGGCCTCCTGCCGGAGCATGTGGTGCACGAAGGTGGCCGTCTCGGCGGCCCGGTCCAGCACCGGATGGCCAAAGTGCGTGTTACCATAGGTCGGCAGGGCCGGGCCGACGGTCCGCCCGGCCAAAGCCTCGGCCAGAGGGCGCGGGGCCCCGTCCATTCCGGCTGGGCTGTCGGACTGCAGGACCATCCCCCCGGGGGGCTCTTCCAAATGGCAGGCATCCGACGAGTGCTCCGAGCTGAGATATGCCCCAGTGAAGGCCGACGGGGAGAACCGGAAGTCCTGATCGCCATCGGTGGAGGGGGCCGTGGCGGCCGCATCATCCCCGGGATAGCCGGCGCCCAGGGCCCCGAAGATGTGGCCCCGCTCGTCCGGCGAGCAGGCGCTACCATGCTGCCCCTGGCTCGACCGGGGGTCGGCCAGCACACCGGCCGGATGCGGGCGCCAGGGCCGGGCCTGCGGCTCGAAGGTCGTCAGCGAACGCGGGTCCTCCGATTCCGAGTCATAATCCGAGTAGGTGGCCAGCTCAACCAGGCCACCTCCAAGGAGGCCCTCATTCAGGAGCAGCTCCGCCACGCGAGCCGTCGACATGGCCCGGTCCACCCGACGCGGGTGGAAGGTCTTGGCGAAGTCGGTGTCCAGCGCGCAGGGGGCCTGGTTGCGCCGCGGGAAGGGGGCCTTCAGCATGGTCTCCTGTGCCGAGGAAACGAACACCCGGCCGGGGGCGGACATGGGGGCCGGCGGCAAGGGTGGCAGCGGGGCGCCAAGCGAGCCGTCCGCCAGCGGCACGGACACCGGCATCGACTGGAGCTGCGCATCACTCGACATGGAACCGGGGCCCGGGGCCGCATACTCCTCCTGCTCATGCCGGGGCTCGACATGCATCTCCGAATCCGGCATGACATCGATCGGCACATAGGGGGGGAGGGCAACAACACCCGGCAGTGGGTATCCGGCGACCGGGGCCCGACCATGGCCAGGGTAGCTGTCCTCACACGCGGCGTCCCCGTCGGAGTAGTCGGCCTCCTCGTCGCCATACCCGAACTCCGAACGGACATCCTCGTCGTGGTCGTCGTCGTCGTGGTCGTCGTCGTCAATGTCGATGTCGATGTCCTGGGCATGTGCATCATGGTGGCCAGGCTGCTGGTAGACGCCCGAGGCCTTGGAAGCTTGCTGGAAAGGGGTGTCCATGTGCTCGTGCATGGGTCGCCGGATGCCAGGCCCCGACATGGACGACGTCACGGGCTCCGATCCAAACTCATTGACCAATGTCGAGACCGGCGAAATGAGGGACCCGGCTTCGGGCGCCAGCTCGCCGAGCTCGGCCTCCGGCACTCGACCGCCAGAGATAACACCGGCTGGACCGCGCGTCGGATCGGCCTGGAGGTGGTGCAGGGAGAGCCACGCCGGCGATGGGGCGGTGGCTGGCCGGACGACAGCCTGCATGTGGGGCTCCTGGGCCTGGGACATTGGCAAGGGGGCAGCGCGTCAGCACGGGGGAGGGGCGGGGGGGGGAGGAGGAGGGGGGCCAGCTTAGTGGGGCTGGCCCGCACATGTGCAGCGAGGGCGGGAAGTCGGCATCGAGAGCAGGGTGTGAGGGTCCGTACGGCCGGGCCCGAGCCGATGAAGGACATCGGGGGCCGGGGAGGGCGGTGTGTCAGAAAGTCCGGGCTGGTGACCGGGCGCGGTGGGGCCCCATCGCCAGGGTGCTGGCCGAAGTCCGTGGCAGAGCCCGCCGCGTCACTCGTCGCCACCGTGTAGAAGTCCTCCTCTTGGAGGAACTGCTTGGAGCTTCGCCGGGAGCTGGGGGCCGGCTGCATCCAGCCCTCCTCATTCAGGTGGCCCGAGGTGGGGATCATGGCCAGACCCTCGGAGGACTCGTGCATGGCCAGCTCGCTCGGGGTGTGGGTGTGGAAGGAGCCGCGAGCAGGCGCCTCCCCGACAACCGAGCCGGATCCGGGCATGTAGTTCTCGGGCGGCATGACGGTGCGCTGGGGCAGGGCCAAGGAGGAGGTCGGAGAGGGGAGGCGACGGGAGGGGGGGGAGGGGGGGGGACTACGGGGCTGGGTCGACTCTAGGCGAGAAGAGGGGGCGCCGGGTCGTCGGGCGTGAGGGAGAGGTGCTGCACAAGAGGCTGGTGGGGGGTGGGGGGGGGGGAGAAAGGTGTGCCACAACCCAAGACACGGGCAACCAACGCGAAGGGGCCTCTTGTTGAGGAGGCTCGGGCGAGGCGGCGGGAGGGGAGAGGGGGGGGGAGGGGGG